CTTTATAATAACGAACCTAAGGAATACAATGTATGGTAATGATTTCGGCTTCGAAGTGCGGCTCCCATAATACTTCTATAGTATTAGCCCACACAAGCCAGAAAGCAGCACACAGTTGGAACCCAACATGAGGGGTATAGGCATGTTCGTCAGAGTGTAGGGGTTCAGGTAGAACCCGACGTGCCGAAGCCCTCATATTCCCCAAAGCAAGTAGCGTATGATACACCCCCAAACCCTGTTAATTATGAAGACCCCCATAGTACAGTTGCAAAGTCGCGGAGGCCTCTTCTGAGACTTTCGGGTAACCGTTGCGCTGCAAGAAGAATCCTTACACTGTCCAGGGTTCACGGTATGGAGTTTACAGGGTTTAGAGCTCAGAAGCTTGAGATTCGGCGTTTAGGGCTTACGGGTCGGAGATTGGGGTTTGGGGGGCGGTATGATATGCCAGTACTGAAACAAGAAACGCTAGGGCAAAGAATAGTGCGAATTACTCCGGCTTCTACATTAAAACGTTCCGGGTGTAGAATCCAATTCCATGCTTATGCGCAGTTCGCCGCTATAAGTACATAAAGCAACCACAGATACAGCTCGGCATGACCTCCGGTAAGGTAGTTCTGTGCACAGAAGTACCCATGAATCTTCAAGCTGATTCTGCACAGCGCCAGACGACTTCGGGCTTACGGCTTAGGGTTTAGGGTTTAGGGATCTGCAGCTATCTACTGCTGAAGGTGTTCAACTTGCCTGATCTTGCCCGCCACCCCTAAACCTCAAACCCCTAAACCTGACTACTGACTCGTGGTGAACTCTGGTCCGTACCTTGACTCTAGTCTTCAACAACCGACCCAACAGTTCAAAACTTTGAAGATAGACCAAACGTTGAATATGAAGACCAAAAGCAGAACAAGCTTGAAATGTAGGGGCCTTCATGATTAGAGCAGGGCGTATATCATGCTATACTTATAACAAACCCTTACGAAAAATATCGGTAATTCTTTAGTTTAGGCTTCTATGCTAAGTTCTTTCCCAGATTCTATGCATGTAGCGGACGTCGGCTTCCTCCTCAACATCGGGACTGGCGGCGTCAAGCGACTGAGATCTTCGACGCGTCTCCTGCTCCTTCCCAAAGCGGCTCGGGGATCTTTGGGTACGAGGGACTAGGGGTTAGTTTAATGTAGGGGCCTAAATAATTAGGATAGGGTTTTGGGGGTTCCTTCTTATATTTATGGTATACTATACCCCAAACCCTATTCTAATGATTGAGGCCCCTATATTAAACTAGGGTTGATGGCTTTAAGGTGTACTTTGACCCCAAAATACTTTTTAGGACTTATATAAAGAAATTATGAGAAGGCACCCTAAACACGTAGGTTCTTAGAGTCCAGGTAGGGTTTGGGGAGTACTTTGCCTAAACCCTAAACCCTAAACCCTAAACCCTAATTTGTAGTGCTTTCTTTCGTGAAGGTCTGGGCTTTCTGTCTCTCTGTCTCTCTGTCTTTCTCTCTCTCTCTGAGAGAACAAAACTCTCTCTGTCTCTGTCTCTGTCTCTGTCTCTGTCTCTGTCTCTGTCTCTGTCTCTGTCTCTGTCTCTGTCTCTGTCTCTGTCTCTGTCTCTGTCTCGGGCTTTCGGGGGATTCTGAGAAGGATCTCGGTCCGAAGTCCCCTAAAATCCGAAAGCCTGGAGCAAACACACCTAGGGTTTCGGGTTTAGGGTTAAAAGGGGTTAGGGTTTAGGGAAGTTTAGGGTCTAGGGTTTCGGGTTTAGGGTTGAAGGGTTAGGGTTTCGGGTTGAGGGTTAAAGGGCTTAGGGCTTAGGGTTTAGGGCTTACCTGGACCCGAAAACAACCTACTTTTTCAGAGTGCTGATTTCCGTATAGACGTCCTTAAAAGGGTAGGTTTCCTTCAGGGTTCAGGAAGGAACTCTGGCTTAGAGCCTTAAAGATGTTCGGAGTTTTAAAACGGGGTTTATGTGGGTTCCATTTTAAATCATTAGCAAGGTGTATGCTATAGGAACCCCAAGCCCTACACCCCTAAACCCTAAACCCAAACCCCTAAACCCCCAAACCCTGAACCCTAAACCCCAAACCCCTAACCCCTAAACCCTAAACCCTAAACCCTTTGAAAGATGGAAGTAGGATCATACGGTTTAGGCCCTGGCTCGAGGGCTCGTCAGGGCTTACCTGGTCACTAAAGAACCCGCTTTTTGTCGGGCTCCTTCTTAGGGTTTAGGGTTTAGGGGTTAGGGTTTAGGGTTATGATTTCCTTATGTAAGTCCTGAAAACGGTAGGGTATTTAGGGTCTAGGTCGGTTTTGGGTTGGCTTTGCTTTATTGGGGTTGCTAGTTCCAGAGCTGAGTGTCTTAGACATCTCAGACACCTAGCTGTCCACTTTCCTCGAGGTACCTTGAGTTAACCTTCGGGGTCATATTGGAGTAGTTCTCTAAATTAGAGTCCCTTTTAGGCTCCCTTTCAAAAGGGTACCATGCTACATTGGGGACCTAAAAAGGGACCTTAATTTAGAGACATACCCATATTGAGATTATAGTACCCCAACAAGGATGGAGGTTACTTACTCTACTGCTAAGGACACTAACCCCGGCCTGAACGCAAAGTACCACTACGCACAGCGCCACTAGGATCGCCAGCGTTAGGGCTGCAAACTCCATCAGCATGGTGACGGCTGCAGATACGACTACGGTTTACGAGCTCAGGGTTTAGGGTTCGGGGTCAGGGTTTAAGGTACTTAATGTTAATCGTACATTTACTTGCTTCCCTTGTGCAGCTGCTGTTGCTGAGCTTTCTTGGGCAGGGCCTGACACGATTGCTGTTAGGGCCCGTTTGGAGTTGTTGCATAGGGCTTTTGGGCTTACGACGTGCTTTCTGAACGCTGCGCTTGCCTCGACCTAAATGCGGCCACTGCGGTGGTCACAAAGCTTTCCTGGTGCACCCTCGAGATTAGCGCTTTACAAGAACATGGCTCCTTTACATTACAAGCCCTCGATGCATTTCAAAACAAAAAATTGATGTTTAAGCCACCCGCACAACCCCCCCCCAAAAAAAAAAACAGAATACCTTTAAATTAAAATCACAAACCCTTCATCCCATCGTCAAGTGGGGGGGATATCCACCATCTACGAGAAAAGAGGACGAAGCCTTTCTGAGTCGTAGAGTTTAGGGTTTAGGGCTTACCCTAAACCCTAAACCCTAAATCCGGAACCTTAAAGCCTAAACTTTAAAGCCAACCTGAAGAACCCGAACCCCAGACCCGAACCCACCAAAGCCCAAGCCTAAACCCCGAAAGCCAAAGATCAAGCCACACCCTACTGTAATGTAGGGATAATTAGAACAGGGTTTTGGGGCCCATTCTACTATAGTTATAATAAGGAGCCCTCAAAATAGTATAGGTAACAATTAAGGCCCCCTATATTACCTCCAAATCGAACTCAGCCTGAATCCCGAATCCACAAACCCGTAATGTAGGGGCCTTCATAAGTAGAATAGGGTTTTGAGGCCCAATATACTATATTTATAATCAGGAACCCCCCGAAATAAAAATAATATAGGAAATTATTAAGGCTCCTGTAGATAGACCGAACACAAAACAACCCTTCTCCTGCGGGGGAGGAGGGTCGGTGGTGTAGTCGATCACAAGTTCCGGATACTGCGACATGGCATCCTTGATCAGGCGGTTGTTCCTTACTTGCTGAGTTCAGAAGCCTCCAAAAACTGTAAACTTTCCGTTCCACAAGGGCGCATATTACCACCCCCGAAAACTCAAAAAAAAAGACTTATTCAGCTACTGAGGTTCTTAATCCTAAACCCCGAAACCCCTAAACCCTAACTCCATATATTCAGCTACCGAGGTTCTTGATCAGGAAGAACTTGTCCTCGGCATCGTAGGTCTCTTCGAATTGCAGGTCCATGGCTGTCTTGCCTGGGCTCTTGTTAAGGATTCGGGTTTAGGGCTTAGGATTTCGAGTTTGGGGTTGAGGGTCTAGGAAGTTTACTTCAAGTTAACGTGGTTCTTCTTAAGCACTTAGGGTTCTTTTAAGGGTTCCTCTAAGGGTTCCGTTCTTCTTAAGGACTCAGGGTTCTTTTAAGGGTTCCTTTAAGGGTTTAGGCTTGACTTACAAAATCTAAGTTGCCCTAACTTTGGATTCCTTTAACGGTTCCCAGAAGGGTTCTACAACGGCTTAGGGTTTAGGGGTTAGGGTTTAGGGTCCATCCTTGTACCCTCAAATACGGGTATATGGTCCCACATAAGGGGCATTTGGGGGCCTAATACAGGGTAGATGGAGGGTCCAGGTAAGTTGCCATGTTAGGAATCTAAGGTAAATAAAGATTCCGTACGGTGGTAGCCTAAAGCTAGTTCCGTAAGAGATAGTTTTAAACCCTAAACCCTAAATCCTTACTATGGTAACTCAGAGCTAAATTCCTCAAGAGATAGTAAAACCCTGAACCCTAAACCCTAAACTTAAAACCACAGCTCCCTAACACGGGCCCAGCTGCCGACTTTGAGATCTTCACCGCCCGGCTGGCGACCCGAAGCGCCGGCATCCAGCACCCTCAGGCTGCTCCTCAAGAAGTGGCCGCTCAGCTCCTCGTTGTACCTGATCTTCGCATAAGATAGGGGCCATAATAATTAGAACAAGGTTCCTTAAAGGGTTCTATAAGGGCTAGTATAGACCTACTATAAAGCTTTGGGATCTTCGCATATTTTACTGTACCATATCATAACTCTATCATGAAATCTTAGGACTATATACAAAAATCTTATATAATTGCGCTATACCATCATATGACAGAACATTGTAAGAACATCCTTTGGGCGATGGACCCGTCAACGAACTCTTACCTGTGCCAGGCACGAAGATGAGTGATACCCTCTGACTGAGCACCACAAGACTCGGCACTTCTCTAGCAAGGGAGCTGTAAACACAGGTTTTAGTTTAGGAACCCTAAACCCTAAACCCAAAATTTGCCGAACCCTAAACCCTAAAATTACTAAACCCTAAACCCTAAACTAACAGAGCATGGGCACTTGTCCATGGTCAAGTCGATCTTGTACTTGCGCCGGGAATTGGCATCAGCCAGCGCCTTCCGCAGCACCCACACGGTAACAATGTCTCCGCGCTTGTACACCTCAGCTTAATCAAAGCAGGCTTTGAGAAACTATATGGGTGGTTTGTTTAGGGTCTTCGGAGAAAGTTACAAGGTTTATGCAACAGGTCTGCAAGGAGCTTCACAACTGAGACATGCTTCCATAGCCCGCCTAAAACCTCGCTCTACGAACCCCAAACCCTAAACCCTAAACCCTAAACCCCTAGACTTTAAACCCTAAACCCCTAAACCCTGAAACCCCCAAACCCTAAACCCCTAAACCCTAAACCCTAAACCCTAAACCCTAAACCCTAAACCCTAAACCTCTAAACCCTAAACCCTTAAACTCCACTCCCCGAGGTCTTCCGACGCCGGACCTTCGGCCGAGTCAGATGTCGGTCTCAAAGCAATCCCTAGAGCCCCAAGCCACGAGCATGTTTGGGGTTTAGGGTTTAGGGTTTAGGGTTTAGGGCCCAGGTCTTGCTTTTGAGGCTTTTAGCTATGGGCTTAGCGTAGCGATCTTGTATCTTATATTATAAAGGCCTACTTGCAAACTACTTATGAAGTTCCATCTAATCCCTCGAAGGGCCAAGGCACGCTGCGACGGTACCATCCGTCCTGATGGCTATGAGGCAGTCTTGAAAAGGGAAGCCTAGATCTCGTGGCATTCACGATAATCTCAAATCACACCAAGCGTCAAGGCAAGAACCCAACAGTAAACCCTATAGACCCTAAACCCAACCACTAAATACCCCAAGTTGCAATCCCTTGCCACAAACCGATACGCCAGCACAAGGGCCCCAAACCCAAACCTCGAAACCAGAGGCCTGGCTCAAGGTACCAGAAGCTCCTTTTTCGCACAGTCTTCGTCTAAATCCGACTAGAAAGTCTTGGGTTTAGGGTTTAGGGTTTAGGGTTTAGGGTTTAGGGTTTAGGGTTTAGGGTTTAGGGTTTAGGGTTTAAGTTGTGGGACAGACGCCTGAAGAATGAACCGCCCTAGTATAAACAAACTCAGAGGCCTTTTAGAACCTCGTCACAGCACCCTAAAGACTCTCCAAAACTGCTTCAGAATCCTTGCTGAACCTGATCCTACATGCCCAACAGCTATCCCAAACCCTTGCAAACGACCATGAAACCTTTGAAACGAACATCCCCAAGAACAGATCCCAGCCCAAGTCCTCCTCCGGACCCTCCGCGAAGGCTCCAACGCCCAGCTGCGCACGGGGCAAAAGGCCAACCAAACTGTCGGACAGGGCGACGAACCTCGGATTTTTGGCGGTTCTGCATGAGTTGTTAAGGCCTTGGGTCCAGGGGTTGAGGGGTTTCGGGCTTAGGGTATAACTTCTTCGGGCTATGAGCATCCCGAACTGCGAAGTGCAGTAGAAACAGTAGTAGCAGTAGTAGTAGCAGTCGTCGTCGTGGTGGTGGTAGTAGGAGTAAAGACCAGACATGATAAGGCTTTAGGGTTGTAATTACAAAAGACTGAAACTAGGGCAGAGGGTTTGGCCTCTTTTTCCGAAAACAGTACAAGATATTACAAGAGCTGCTGGGATAAGGGGACAGGGCTCATGGATTAAAACCGGCCAAAGAGTTGGGGTTTCAATGCATCTGCCGCAGATTTTCAGTGGGGAAATCGTTCCCTATAAAGGCCTAACCCTCCAGGTACCTACTATATAGGGCACTAGGGGGTACCTGAGGGGTTAGGGAAGGCTTGTAAGAATTATATGAGAACCGTCGCAGAACAGTGCGCGGATTGCTCTCGGGCTTTCTTCTGGCATTTCCAAGCTCTACAAGGCCTGTGGCACAGCCCACACCGGCTCACTGTCCACCTAGGAGCCATGCTCAACCCTAAACCAAAGCCAGGTACCAAACCCTAACCCCCAAACTCTTCAAGTCTAAATTTTAGATCTAGGGGCAGCCCCAAATGCGAGGTGTCCACGACGATGCCCTCGTGCTTGCCCCCGATGCGCAGCTCCTTGCAGTGCAGTTTACGACGAATTAGCTCGCGCGAGATGTGGGGACGCGCAGCTCCTCGAACGTCAGGCGCGGCTGTAGTGAAAGCTTCATCCGTCTCTGGTTGACGTCGACCTCGCTGATGTACACCACCACCTCTGACAGATCAAAGGCTCTTGCTTGATTTGCAGCTATGGCCTGTGGTCTTCAATTAGGTAGCTACAAAGTATGGATTTTTTCTGAGGCCCAAAACCCCAAAACCCCAAACCCTCAACATTGAACCCTAAACCCCTAAAACCCCTAAAGCCCCTGAAGCACCTAAAGCCCCTAAAACCCCCAAACCCTAAATCCTCAACATTGAATCCTTCAGGCCCGCCGGGCCTGAAGCTACTCAGGGAAAAGGGTCGAAGTAGTGTCTACCCATAGGCCCCATAGTAGTTCCTTTTTGGGGCTACCTTTTAGGATTCTATATATGAATCCCCAAAAGGAACTACTTCAGGGCCTATGGGTACTACTAACTCATCATTCCATTTCCACCCTGCTCCCTCAACCCTATAATATAGCGGCCTTAATAATTGGAATAGGTTTTTGGGGCCCACTATACTATAAATATAGTAAGGAGCCCCTAAAATAGCGCTGATAAATACCCATGGGCCCTAAAGTAGTTCCTTTTTGGGGTTCATATATAGAATCCTATAAGGTAGCCCCAAAAAGGAACTACTATGGGGCCTATGGGTATTTAGGCCCCAGCCCGACTCGGCTGACTTGAAGAGACGAACTCGGAGCTGCTGCAAAGTGCCGTGGTGACCGAGGTCTTAAGCCCGCAAGCAACGGCCAAAAAAGGGGCCTTATAAGGTTTAGTTAGGGTTTAGGGTTT